AGGAAAAATTTCCCCAAGGTCACACTGCTAACCACTGGCCTGGCTGAGATTCGGCAGGTGGCATTCTCTTTCCCTAACATTTATTCTGTCAGTCCCCATGGTGAACCCGTGAGGCACTCTTGGGGAGCCCTCACTCTCCTAACATGGAAGTGGATCGCAGCATGCCTGTCCATAGCACTGAGACCGTGAACACAGCCCTCAGGTGCTAAAGGAGTCAGAGACAAGCAGGGCTGTGAAGGGCCTTTTCCTGAGGGGTTTTTTCAAGTAGCCTTTGGAAGGAGCTGGGGACACAGCCTTAGGCTGTAAGGCATTGCAGACCATCTCTCACACTGGACTTTGCCTTGCTGCAGGCTGGAGAAGTCAAGCCAAGTCCGCACAGTGTCCAGCAGCAATTTATTCTTCAAAGGGAGCCGGTTCCGATACAGGTAAATAGTGACAGTAAGTAACCGTTATGGACCTATTTTCAGACCCTCCTCTGGAGAAGGGTGGCCCAGTGGTCCTTATCCCGAGAACAAAGACACTGGGAACCTCCAGAGAAGTGTGAGGTTTCCATCCGATTCTCCTGTCTCCTAACCCTTTGACTATTTCTTTCCTTCCCTGCAGCTGTTTGCCTGTAGGGGTTAAAATGTGTGTCTTCTCCTGCCCTTACAAAAGCAGCAAAATAAGAACTGTAAGAGTGATTCCTTTCATTTCTATCTAAAGATTTCATTTATTTGCAATATTTTTGGAACACGCTGGACAATGAGGAATCATTCCTAAATGAGGATGGAAGATCCCAAAGACCGCAGAGACAGAGAGCTGTCAGGACGCCTTAGAGCTCTTTACCCCAGCAAGCAAGCCCTAGTCAGTGGCCTAAACATTGAGAAGGGGTAGGCCAAAGAGGCCACTTCCCAATTCAGCCCAAGTATCTGAGATCTTACAGAGGAGCTCAGTCCTGGAACACTGTCTCATTTCTTGCTGCTTGTTTTATTTATACTACTTATAGTGGCCGAGTTGCAAAGGAAGTAATGGAGTCCAGTGCCAAGATCAAACGGGAGCCACCAGAAATACACAGGTAGGCACCAGGGGCTTATCCCCAAACCAGGTCCAGCTCAGATCTCAGAATCTTAAAAGAGCCAGCAGTTTGAGTACTGTGAAGATTCTGGCTGTGATGGCTTCCAAGCAGGGCAGCAGCGTGAAGAGACCCATCTCAGCCAAAGGCATGGGAACAGGATGACCCTGGAGAATGAGGGAAGGTGGGCTAATGTAGACAGTACATCAGACCCAGGAGCCACCTTCCTGGGTAATTCTCTACCATCATCCCAAGTCCTGAAATTGGTCATAGACCTTGGAGGACATGCCCAAGCAGCAAGATTTCACTGGCTCTGTAAACAGTGCATTACAGGAAGCCAGTCACACTAGGTCTGAAACAGTTTCAGGATCCATGCTTTATGTATAACTGTAAATCACAAATTTCCAGGAGGCCATCTCCTACAACCTGGTAAGACTGAGGGAGAATATGATTGGCCAAAAGGTCTGGGGTTTGCCAACCAGACTGACCTCTGGGAATGGGAGCATTACCTGCCTTCACACGGAGCCCCCTGCCACCAGCAGCCTCTGTGGGAAGTCAGGGGAGGCCGCATATCAGTCTTAGGCACATTTTTAGGAGCACCGCATATCCTGGGGCTCTACTCTCTGACAATCCTGCCCAGGGACCAGTGGCACCACTGCCACACTAAAGAAAGGTTCGGGTGGGTCTGGGATATAAGGAGTTTGACAAGTTTGAACTAGTGTCTCTGACTGGGATCCAGGGACTAAAGGCAGAAAGCAGGTATTAAAGATTTTTTTCAAAACAAAACAAAACTTATTAACACAGCCAGGCAATTCTCAGGCAATTCTAGTAACCAGTCCTCAACTCTGAGTCCTGACCACATTTGTCAGTGCACTAAGTCAACAGAATTCTTTTTTTCTTTAACCTCAGAGCAGGGATGGTCCCCAGCCGCAGCTGTCCCTCCATAACCCATGGCCCAAGGCTGAGCAGCGTCCCCAGGACCCGGAGAAGAGCTGTTCACATCTCCATCATGGAAGGTGAGCATGAGCTCTGGAGATGACCTGGGGTTCCTCCAAGTTGTCACCTGGACAAGTTCCTCACAGGGACCTTGAAAAGAAGTGAATTTGCACTAGAGACAGCAGCAAGTTTCTCCAACGGTAGAGAGAATGTTTCATCCAGTCAGTGGGAACACCAGCTGGGTGTCAGGTGAAGGGTAATCCCATCCAGCCCTGATGAGCTGTGGTCCAGGAGGGGTTTGTAGATCTGAGAGTATTAGACTAAACCTTTGGGAGAGAACTTTGTATGTGGAAGCTACCAGGTTCCATGCAGTTCTGAAATTGATTTCCATCAGAGGTTTTCTTTCACTTGTGTTCCAGATCTGATAACCAGTTTTCACAGCTTAAAGGATCAGGGTGGCTGAGGCAGTTAACCAAGAAATGAAAACTCTTGGTTGTGAAGCATTCCAGTAGCTGCCACCACCTTCTACTTCAGTTGTAGAAATCTGTCCTCTTGCTATCTGAATTCTTTAACATTGTCTCAGGAAATCCAATATGCCCCTTCTCTCTCTACCGTTCCCTCGCTCTGGAGGAGGTGGAGGTGGGAAGAGAGACAAAGTCTGTGTATTTTCACTGAACGAGATGACCCAGTAGCTGGGGTTGATACCTCTCCAGTCTCTGGGCAGTTTATACTGTTAGGAGACTCTGGGAAGACTGCCCTCCAGCTGTTGTCACTGACCCAGCTTGCCCCACAGGCTTGATACAAGTATAAAGTTGAGTGCTTTCCTTCCTAAAGACAACGTTTTGTTTGTTTTCTTGGTTTTTTTTTTTAATTTATTTAGTTTTGGCAGCGTTGGGTCTTTGCTGCTGCGTGCAGGCTTTCTCTAGTTGCGGCGAGCGGGGGCTACTCTTCGTTGCAGTGTGTGGGCTTCTCATTGCGGTGGCTTCTCTTGTGGAACACGGGCTCTAGGCGCGTGGGCTCAGTAGTTGTGGTGCATGGGCTTAGCTGCTCCATGGCATGTGGGATCTTAGTTCCCTGACCAGGGATCGAACCTATGTCCCCTGCATTGGCAGGCGGATTCTTAACCACTGCGCCACCAGGGAAGTCCCCTGAAGACAATGTTTTGTAGGACCTCAGAAGATCTCAAGCAGCAGTACACAGCAGTAGGACTGCTTCAAACCTGTCCCTTTCCTGGAAGCTGGGGAGGGAAGGCCCTCTGCCCTTTCTGTGGAAATGCTGCTTGTTAATGAAAATGAAGAATCGCTTAGGTTAGGAAGGACATTGCTCTGCTGCTCCTCCGGGAGGATCTCTGGTTTGTGTTTAGGATTTTACAACGTGTCAGTGACTCTGCATCACCTGAGTATGTTGTAAAACTACAAACAGTCTAGGGGTTGAGAACCCTGGCTGGACAACCACCATCAAAGGCCTTATTTATGTGAGTACCTTAGTTGCTCCATTTGTAAAACCCCATGGGTTTCGAGGAAGCTGATGTACGTGCAAGTACTTTAAAGAGATGTAAAGCATTTACTGGGCAGGCAGCAAGCACAATGCAAAGAGCCCTGGTCAGGAAGTCAAGGATGAGGTCAAAATAGGAGCTCTGCCACACATTTTCTGGGCAGGTTGCTTAACCTCTCTGAGCCTGTTGCCCCCACTGTAGAAAGGGGTGGGGGTGGGGGAAGGTGCCTTGGAAACTCCCAAGTATAATGGCTATGCAAGGTACGGAATTATTGAGGTCTGGCCATCATCAGACACAGCCCCCTTGTTTCCCCTCCTATCTTAGGCTGAGCGGGAGAAGTGAGCCCAGCTCTCTTATTTTGGGGTGTGCATCTCAGGAAAGTGGACTGTCTTCTCCTCTTCTGAGGAAACATAACTTTCTCCCCTCTCTGTGGCCCTTGTTCCCGTCTGTCCTGAGGCTGAAGCCACCAGGTTCATCCCAAGGCTCTGGCAGAAAGTCAGGACAGCTGTCCTCCCAGAGGAAAGGCCACCCCCGGGGGAAGCTGGCCCTAATGCAGGTATCGCATAGGAGAGCAGCCTCAGGCATTACTGCTCCCCAGCATATGGAAGAATGTCTAGTAAAACCAGCATTCCCAGAAGAGGGAAGACTGAGGCCATCCATGTGGGGATATAACTCATTTGGAGTAGCTGCCAAGCAGGGTTAGCAAAACAACTCAGAGGTGGGGAGAACCATCCTCAAGCTCCCCCAAGACGAGCTGTGAGGCTGCCTCAGTTCCCAACCAGCTCTGGCTGTGCCTTCAGCCTCCTTCCAGAACCTGTCTTCTCCCATTGTAGCAGCAGTAGGCTCCTCAACATCCAAAACTGTCACCCATGCTTACAAAATGCCAGGGGAGGGTGCAGAAAGCTATTAGAGCAGAGACCCTCCACCCACCCCAGGGCCAGGGCACAGCCTCAAAAGCTTAGGCTCAGAACTTCACACCTGGCAGATTATAACAGAGCAGGCCTCCACGTGCTACTCCCCAAGCCAACGTGCTCCTTACACCCCATGCCCAGTGGTGCCTATAGACAAGCACCATCTTCATCCCCGGTCATGGCCCTCGGGGCCCATTAGACTCAGAAGGGCGTGGGTAGAAGCTCAGAACTGCCCTGGCAGGAATGAAACTCACAGGCAGAATGTAATTCAGGGTGAGGAGAGACAGATGGACAGATCTGGTTTGGATGTGAAAAAAAATACAAGATTTTAGCAGTTGAGCGGCTCTATCAGTGCGGGGATCATCAAGCCTGGGGAAATAAAGAATGGATTATTTCAGGAGGTGAGAGTTCAGCTGCATCATCTCTCAAGAGGGGGTTTTGCCTTTAAAGCACCTAACACGGCTGACCCTCACTGTTCACCCCAACCAGGCAGGGAAGGGTGAGAGGGATGCAATGGGGACCTCAGAGGAAGGACACAAACCATCAAAACTCCCAGGAAGTTATGGACATTTGAAATTGGTTCACGCTCCGTCAGTGATTGTCTTTCCTATAGTCCACATGGCACATAAATTAATATCACAGAAACCATTTGCCTTTTCCAGGGGAAAGCTTTGTTTGCTATCTCCAAAAACAGTGGGGAAAATTGCAAAACACATTAACATAACGTTACAGTTTGAATGAAACCATGTAATCTCAACGAACTGAGACCCTTAAAAAGAAGACTGCATTGGTTGGCCCTGCCCTCTGCTCTTGGGGATGCCAAGATAACACATGTTATTAGCACAGGCCTGACCCAGAGAGGACATTCAGGTATGTCGGTTCCTTTCACCCATTGTGCCCCATGGGGCAGCCAGACAAATAGCGTAGATCCCAGTGGAGGAGGGGACGCAGCCCATTTCCGGCCCCAGAGCCACCGCCTTACACTTCAGAGCCACCCAACCCAAAGCCATTTTCTTTGTAGCTTCACATCCTGGATTTTCTGGGACAGTCCCGATTTCCCCTACTCTCTGGGATTATTCCCTGCCCTCTCTGTTCCTCACCCTCTGAGAGGTCTGGGGCCCTTATACAGGCCTCAGGGAAACAGCTACTGGCTGGGAAAGCATTACCTTTTATAGCTCTAAATCCTTCTGACTGAATCCAGTCCCCTGATAACGCTGGCCTCTCAGAGCTGCTCTTTCCCTGCAGCTCAGTCTGCTCTGAGACTCTCAGAGCCAACCTTTTCTCTCCGGCATGGGAGGCACTGCGAAAGGGCTGCCATGGCGTGAGATCAGTTGGTTTCCCATCCTTTCCCTCTGTACCTTCCCTGCCTGGCTGGTTCCCATGAAGAGATCAGCTGATTTCCACTGAAGAAGCACCTGCCTTCCTGGGCCACCATGGGGAAGAGTCTGATTAAGATTCACACCAGAGTCCGAGTTCAGCTCCGGTTGACTAACCACTGCCTTCGGCCCCTGAGTGTGCGCATCCTAAGGATGGGGCCCCGGCTCCAGGGTAGGCTCCTGACCACTGTGCCCCCTGGCCCACTGGGAGCCACCTCTGGGCAAGGCAATCAGCTGGAGCACCTCCAAGGTAAAAAGACACCCTCTGTTTTGCTGTGCCACTCACCCAGATCCCACCCATGGCACCCACTCCATCCATCCCAGAATAACAGGCTTGAGGCGAGTGGTGGTTTCTAGTGAAACCTGAAATTCTGTACAGGACTAACCTAGCATAGGAATAACCTTAACTTTATAGGTGAGGTCTGTTGGGGGAACAGAAGACTAACATTTACTGAGTAATTTTGTTTGTCAGGCTCTCTACTTAGAAATACATATGTAGCCATTATCTTGTTTACTGAGAGCACCAACAACTCACCATAATGTGGCTTCTGGTGTCCCTCTGATTTGCTCTTTCTGATGTCACAGCCTTTGCCTCTCACCTTCCCCAGCAGGCTTAGGGCTGAATTGTAGGCCAGGCTATGATTGCACTAAGTGGCTTCCGGCAGCTGTGCTGGTCATACATTGGAAGATCTGGCAGTCAGAGCTGTCCTTGTGAGGGGACAGCCCTTGAAAGGGTGTGAGGTGCCCTGTGCAACGGGGCTGAGGTTCCAGAGAACAGGGAGCCAGAAGAGTACTTGGGGAAGGAGCTGAGCCAGCAACATGTAAGATCAGAGCCTGGAAAGGTTTGTTTTTTCAGAAACCCATTTCACACTCCCAGGTACGTGTTTCTCATGCTACACACGTGCAAATGGGGGAAGAAGGGAGGAACACGGGGGAAAACAGAGCAGAGGAGCATCAAAGGCTCTGGAACAAGGGACAGGCTCTTAATTTCACCTTATTTCACAACAGTTTCTTGGGCAATTGGGACCTAAGTCTAAGGCAGGTGCAGGCTGTTGACTTAATTCATCCTGGCCTGTTGTTCCACTCCTCAGAATCCAACTGCATGATCATTAGCACCATGGAATAGAAAGAGGCTTGGATTCTGCCCTTGTCTTTGCCAGTAACAACCAACCACGTGACTGTAACCTCTTGCCCTCACCACTTCATGAAGTTGTTTAAAGATAAAATGGAAGTGCTTTAAAAAGTTTTAAACATTATACAAATTTAAGTATTTTATAGCATAGGGACAAAAGAAATACAGCCAGGACTGTGCAGCTTCTGAAAGCAGGAGCTGAGAGCTGCTGCTAATACACTAATGGTGAGGTGGTGGGGAGCAGAGGCGGATAGCAGGAGGCTGCCATCTCCCCTGCCTATGCCAGCCACTCGTTCGTAACCCAGGGTTCGTTCCTATGGAGAATCTTTTACTGTGTGTATGCCGAGACGGGCTACAAGCAGGCTGGGCAGGCAGGCGGCCTGGCTGCAACTGGCTACCTACCAAGGAAGCCAAGGAAGACGAGATACACTATTTCTGAAATGTTACTGGCACCTTTAAAAAGAGACCTTGGGGCTTCTGAAGCCAGCCCAGAACCAGAAAACTCCGTAATCAGCCCTGGTTAGGTCTTACCTTTACTAGCTGGGTGTCCAGCTGTCTGGGGCAGTCAGGGTCGATTTCAGAGCAACAGAAGGGGATGAGCTTCTCTTGATGTGGACCACAAAAGCAGGGAGAGCCACTCTGGAACCACTAATATGGCCAGGAGTAGAAAATACAGACACTGAACTTGAAACAAGAAGCCATTTCCTTGGGAGCACTATGACATGGGCCACACTTGGTGACTCTGAGCTCTGACATCCTCTGGCCTGGGTGGCTGCTGTTTGGTTGAGGGGGGTAACCAGCTCCTGTTCTTCCCTACTAGAGCTTTGAGCCCTGGAAAGAAAGAAATGTTCCATCTAAGAAAGTAAAGAGATAATGAGTAGTTTTAGGGGCAGAAGACCCTTTCTCCTAACTAATGTAAGAGAATTTCCCACTGATGCAACAAGATCGTCTCAGAGACCACTCTGTACTCTGGAGTAGCTAAAGCAAGGGGAGCTGTCAGCCTGTTCTGGACCCGGCTCAGTCTAAGGTGAAAAGAGAGGGAGAGCACTTAGGAAGAGCAGATCAGGTTTTTACCTCCCACAGAGTGAGGACAGCTAGAACTGGGAGGCTGAGGAGACTGACAGCAACTGCAGAAATCCAAAAGATGAGCTCATGAGCTCAAGGAGCTGTGTGCCGGGTTGTTAGGAGGACACTCGGCTCCAGAATCTGTATTTGATGAGGCCCAGCTGGGCAAAACACAGTCTCCTCCACATTCCTGCCTCTCAAGGCTCTCGGCTCCCTGAACCATGACCCCAGCTCTGGTTGGGTCAGGGATAGTCTGCGATTCTCTTTCAAACTGGGCTAAAGCCAGGCCCAGGACACAAAAGGCAAGAAAGGCAGAATCTTTAACCAATATGGCCAAAACTATAAGCAAAAAGAAAGAAACTTTCAACCAATGCCACTCTAGTTCCTGCTGCTTCTCTTGTCCTATTCTTTTTTTTTTTTTTTGCGGTACGTGGGCCTCTCACCGTCGTGGCCTCTCCCGCTGTGGAGCACAGGCTCCGGACACGCAGGCTCCGGACGGGCCATGGCTCACGGGCCCAGCCGCTCCACGGCACGTGGGATCCTCCCGGACCGGGGCACGAACCCGTGTCCCCTGCATCGGCAGGCGGACTCTCAACCACTGCGCCACCAGGGAAGCCCTTCTCTTGTCCTATTCTTGATACATCAAAACAGAGTGCAGTGGCCATTGCTGCTGGTCACGTGGGGCGTGCAAAGGGGCTTCTCCTAAGATTTTAGTGACCAGATAAAGCAGGATAGGTGCTGCCTCCGCCTGACAGCGAAGTGGGTGCCGGCACACAGAAGGCCTGCTCATTTTCCTTTTGCCTTTCCAGGCCTCGAGTCCCTACGGGACAGTGCCCACTCCACCCCGGTACGTTCCTCCTCCCACGGGGACACTTTCCTGCCTCACGTGAGAAGCAGCCGGGCAGACAGCAATGAGCGAGTCGCCGTGATCGCGGATGAGGCCTACAGCCCTGCAGACAGCGTGCTGCCCACCCCTGTGGCCGAGCACAGCCTGGAGCTGATGCTGCTTTCCCGGCAGATCAATGGGGCCACCTGCAGCATTGAGGAGGAGAAGGAGTGTGAGGCCAGCACCCCAACTGCTGCAGAGATGGAGGCCCTTGGGGGAGAGCTGAGGGCCCTGTGTCAGGGGCACGGCAGGCCAGAGGAGGAACAGGTGAATAAGTTTGTTTTAAGTGTCCTCCGTTTGCTCCTTGTGACCATGGGACTCCTCTTTGTTTTGCTCCTCCTCCTGATCATCCTCACTGAGTCCGACCTTGACATTGCCTTTTTCCGCGATATCCGCCAGACCCCCGAGTTTGAACAATTCCACTATCAATACTTTTGTCCCCTCAGGCGATGGTTTGCCTGCAAAATCCGCTCAGTGGTGAGCCTGCTCACTGACACCTGAGAAGGCATGAATCCTCCCAATAACTAGCCAGGTGGACCAAGGAGCCCGGCTACCCATTCCCAGCAATGGGACCCATCGCGGAACCATCGGCACATGTACCAAGTCCTCCTCTCATGACTCAAAGTCCACAGCCTAGGAGGGTCGTTTCCCAGAAGAAGAAAGGGATAGGCTCATGCCTTGGCTAACTGGGAAAACTCATTTCCTTCAGAGGTTCTTTCAAGAAAGGCTCGGCGACTCTGTTTCTCATCCTCCCAATTTGCAGGATAAAATTTTTGGTTTTGAATTTTGATTTTTCATAGATGTGTATTATTTTGAAAATATCAAAAATAATTTATTTTATTATTACTGATTCTCGCAGTGGTGATGTAGATGGGACACTAGTTGGAGACTAGAGAGCTGTTGTCTTCTGTATTCTGCAGGAGCTTTCCTACTCAGTTCCAGTAAGACTCATCACTGCAGCCTCAGAGGGGCAGGCCAGGGGTCTGGACAATGGGGACTGTCTAGGTTTTCTTCCCAGACAGAGCTTTTAAAAAAAAGTAAACATCCGTGTAGAATGATTAAATGGAAAGTTGCTTCTTATGACGGTCTGAGTTGGATTTTCTTTTCCTTTTATTTCTTTCAAATCTGAGCAGAGTGGGCATCTGAAGGGACCACCACTACAGCAGCAGCAGCAGCAGCAGCAGGGGTGGGGTAAGTCTGTCCCCTTAGACTAGATCCTAGTGGGCATCACCATGAGTTTTGTATAATGAACTTAGACTTCTGTGGGGTTTTTTTCTGAAGAACATCAAGACTTTTATAGTGCTCCAGAAGCATTAGGTGAATTCGGTGGTGCCAGGGATAGAACTGTCAGAAATGCAGGACTAAGTGTAGTTAACAGAAACCAGAGCTAAGGTCCCTGAGAGACTGTTGAAGTCACAGAGCAGTACTTATTTTGTAACAACACCGTCCCCCCAAAAAAAGACTATTTCAATTTATATTTTAACAAAATGTATTTTCTTATCAATTCATATTTTGTTTTTACTTTATGGATTAAGAAAAATAGAGCCTGACGAACTTAAACGACACAAGGAAGAAACTGATCCTGAGAGTAAAAAGCTTCAGAAAATAGAATTCCAGGATCAACAAACAGCCTGGGAAGGGACCAGGAAAAGAATCTCTTTAAATAGGAGTTCTAAGAGATGCCTACAAAAGAAGGTGAATGTGGCAGAGACCAAGACTTAGATGTAGAAATACTGCCCCCTAGCGTCATCCTCTGCACTGGGAAAATGAAAGTTGTAGGAAAGCACTTGCCATCCTTGCCGAAGGGAGCCGTGGAAGCATGCAGAAGAGCAGCATGTGGAGGGTGAGTGTGGGGCCCGAGGCCCGAGCTCTGCAACTCTTACAACCACTCACACACAAGATCTTGTTTTCATCTCAGGGAGAGATTTCTAAGTCATCTGGGGCCTGAGGACTTATGTAAGGACAGTCAGTGGACATATTCCTGGGACCCACATAACAGTGGAGCAGCTGCTGACACCCTATGATGCTGGGGAGCCCCAAATGCAGAACAGAATGAGTCACATGTGGATCTGCTTTCCCCTAGTTTGTCCTCTGAGACAGCAGAACCATGTCCATATATAGAGAATCTAATAGCCACGGATAAATGGAGTTTTTCCTTTTTTAAAAGGTTGGGGGTGGTGCTGTGTTTCGAAATTTTAATTTGCCCTTTTATCTAGACCAGGGGTTGGCAAACTTCTTCTGTAAAGTGCCAGATAGATAGATAATAAATATTTTTTTATTTTGGTTTTGTGGGCCATACTCTTTGGCAACTACTCAACTCTGCCGTCTTATCACAAAACAGCCATAGGTAATACATAAACAAAGGAGCAAAGCTGTGTTCCAATAACATTTTTATTTATAAAAACAGACAGCTGAATTTAGCCCACAGGCCATAATTTGCCAACCCCTATCTAGACAATAAAACTGCTCCTTACCAGTGTGTAAGCAGAAAGAGGGTCAGCTCTGCTCCAATTCCTGACATGTGTTAAAGATCCGGGATCATTTCCCAGTAGAGGCACTGGGGTTGCTTGTTTAAAGGGTGCTCAAACAACCAACCAGCAAAGAGATGTCTGATGCCAAGATGAGCAAGATCAACCGCTGTAATGCTAAAACGCAGCCAGAATCTAAGCAAGGAAGAGGGCCTGTCTGATCGTTTCCATACCAGCAACAATCTGGGCAGAATTACAAACATCTATTTTCAAAGTGACAAGACAAAATATGAGGGAGAGCCTAGTAAAGATTAGGGATTGCTTAGAACCAACTAGCCACTGCCACTTGTCATCTACACAGGAAAGGCTTTATTAGCACAGGATTGGAGTAAAAAGTAGACTCAGAGAAGAAAAGGCTGTCAGGAAATAGGGGGCTGGTTTTAACCTGGATATCTACTGTCTTATGCAACATAGCAGATTACCTTTTAGTGTAGTGTTCCTACCTCAGTCTGTAGAATATGGTGTTTCTATGCAGTGAGTGATAGCCTCAACTCTGACCTTTCATATTCACATTAAAGAAAGATGCAATATTCCATATCCTGGTACGTACTTGTGTCTAGAGTTCTAACAGTACAATAGTCTATACCACTTCCTACAGCTGGATTTTGCTCTCTGAACAGAAACTTTTGGGTTATTTTTTTCCAGGGCTTATCCCACAAAATACAGATAGAAAAGTTTCCTTCAATTTGCTTTTCAAATAGTGCTTGAATAACAAACTTCCTTTGTTGGTGACTAGTCTTTTTTGGTATCTCCCCATCATTAAAAATTGTTCGTTTTTAACCTAATTTTACTGTGTTCCACTATGTCTCCTATTTTCTCTCAAAATTAGTTTTGATCTCATTGTAGAAAAAGCAGTGGTTTCCACAGCTTCATCTATCAGAGGAAATAAAACTTACTAAAGAATAGTGTACTGCATCTTTAAGCAGTAGAAGGTAAACTACCTACAAATGTGAATTTCTTAGTTTCATTAAAAATATATATAGTTGTTAACCTTTTGTGTGCCCAAAATTCTAAGTTACATTTTCCTTCAAAGCAATGTACTTTTTTCTACATATGCAGTATGTAGTTAGCATAAAATCATTGGTGCCATGAAAATTATTTTTAAACGTAAATAAATATTTAAATATCATAGAAGAGTGGACTCTTTTTTTTTTTTAAACTTACAGCCTATCTCACTTTCTCCTCCTTAAAATTAACAACACATAGATAAAAGGATACCAGTGGGATTTACACAGCTGACTGCTGTCTGCGACTAGAATTATTTAAAATAATCATTTTGTTTATAGCCATCTATTATCCTTGTTCTTCCCCCCAAAATACATACTATTAAGAACTTAGAAGCTGTAAGTGTGGAATAATTTTGGAGATGAATTGGACATTTTTCTGATGAGGAAAACCAAGAAATGATTTTCCCAAGGTTACACACAGTCTCAGAGCCCAAAGGAGAATCTAGATGGTCCAGCTTCTGCACCAGTGTTTGTAAGCCTGGAGTAAGAGAGAGAACAGCAAACACTTCCTATGAAGGGAACAGAATGATATCACCACTACAATTACAAACCTCATATTTACAACTTAACAACATACATTCCTTTAACACTATCTCATCTGATTCTGTAACCATCACTCTGTAGCTATGGACTGGTAATGGTCTTCTAAATTCCATGAGGATAAAAGGTGAGACTAGGGTCCACTGTACTAGCTTATTATCTAATCTTCCTATTTTCATTTCTACCTGCCTTCCAACCCTCCATTCTGCCACTAGATCACTTTCCTAAAGCACTGATCAGGCTATGTCTCTTACTTCCAAATTTTAAGAGGTTCCTATTACCTGTGGTTAAGGTATCCACCTGCCAATGCAGGGGACACAGGTTCAAGCCCTGGTCTGGGAAGATCCCACATGCCGCGGAGCAACTAGGCCTGTGCACCACAACTACTGAGCCTGCGCTCTAGAGCCCGTGTGCCTAGAGCCAGTGCTCCACAACAAGAGAACCCACTGCAATGAGAAGCCCGCGCACCACAACAAAGAGTAGCCGCTGCTCACTGCAACTAGAGAAAGCCCATGTGCAGCAACGAAGACCCAATGCAGCCAAAAATAAATTAATTAATAAAAAAATAAAATGATATCCAGTGCCCTGTCCCCAGGGAAGTTGTTTTTTTTTTTTAACGACAGGAGTCTCTGCTTAAAGTGATCTGAAGAGTAAAAAAGCGTGAGAACCACTGGATGCAAGTGGTTTCCCATGATCCTACAGACTTGCAGCTACAGCCCTTTTTTAAAAAAATTAATTTACTTACTTATTTATTTATTTTTGGCTGCATTGGGATCTTCGTTGCTGTGCACGGGCTTTCTCTAGTTGCGGCGAGCAGGGGCTACTCTTCGTTGCGGTGCGCAGGCTTCTCATTGCGGTGGCTCCTCTTGTGGATTACGGGCTCTAGGTGTGCAGGCTTCAGTAGTCATGGCACGTGGGCTCAGCAGTTGTGGCTCACTGGCTCTAGAACGCAGGCTCAGTAGTGGTGGTGCCCTGGATTTAGTTGCTTCGCGGCATGTGGGAGCTTCCCTGACCAGGGCTTGAACCTGCGTCTCCAGCATTGGCAGGCGGATTCTTAACCACTGTGCCACCAGGGAAGTCCCTACAGCCCTTCTTTGGATAACTAATGACGACTCACCTATGTACACATCCTTTCAAGGCCCCTGCTTAGGGTGCCTCAACCACAACCAAGCCCCTCTGCACCTGAACACACTTCTGGTTTTAGCTTGTGAACAGGCTTCCTCTACACACCCCTACAACATGCTGATGGAGTGGAGTAAAATACACAAAAGATACTTTTAAAACATTTCCTCTTGCACAGCTTCCATTTTAGGAAAACATATCTTAAGATGTTTTACTCCTCGCTCTGTGTAACTGTGCTAAATATTATCTTCCTCACAAAATTCCACCTTTTCATTTGAAAAGTCGAACATTTACAGCCACATGAACCAGAATTATGGGTCTATGCTGTCTTAAAACTAAAACTCATTACTGGCCATCAACTCTGTACTAACAAGGAAAAACAAAAGTACTAAATCAGAAGGGACAGCCTAACAAAGGAGACGCCTAAGTTTTTGGAATCTGAAGACAGAGTGTATATACTTCTTCCTCTCAAGCTTGATACAGAAGGCACATGTTTCTGCCCTCCTCCTCCTCTTCTCATGTACTGTACACTGGCTGAAAGTATTTAAACCTTTGTATCCTCAGCCCTAAAGCTCTCTGCTTTCCTGGAGAACTACCTTTGCAAAATCTTCTCTGTGGAAAGGTTAACTCAAAGGACAGAATACTAAAATGGGTCTTAAGCAATTCAGATTCTATCAGTTCCTAATCATTTGTGGTCTCTCTTAGTCTGACCAAGTCTCCATCCACCCCAAATGAGATCATCTCCTTCCTACTTAACGTCACATTAAAAAAGGTCAGGCATCTCAAAGAAAATAACTACAGGAGAATTCAGAGCTTACATGCTTATGAGATGTTATAAAGGCCAGCTAACAAAGAAGGTTGATCCGGAAGGGAGAGAGCAATCATAATACACACATAATTACAGAAGCCACACAGCTTTAAGCGAGTCTCTGGGAGAAGTGCCTTTCACAACAGAATACAGTTTAAGGATATCCTAAGGGAGGCAACTGTCCTTTACGTGCTTTCTAGATTTAAACAATTGCTCCTTTATAGAGCTTATCACCAAGAAACAAGTCCCCCACTCACCCTCCTTCTCTCCTTCCTGCACCGCCTCAAGAAGACAGAACTCTCTTAAGTAGAATGGGATATAAATAGCACAGCTGATGAAGCTACAATGGCAAAAGAAACCAGAAAAGTGAGAAACATCAAGAATTTGCTAACATTTAGTGCAGAAGCCAGGCAATTAGCACCAAGTATACCACCAAGTATTCAAAGCTTAAACTAATTTGATTGAGAGTAGTTTTTGACATCTTAAAAGAACAACTCCCACAGAACTAGCTACTCTAGAACCTGTAAAATTAAGTGGCGTGGAAAAGGGAAAGGGAGCCTAAAGGTTTCATTTACTATGTCCAGGACAGTTTAAATATACCTCAACCTCACAGAACCTTACTTTTTGCATTTCATAATATTTCCACCTTGCTTATCAATTCCTGTATTCATATCACCAAGAAAATAGAGAAATCCTATTCCTTCTAAACTCCCACAATGTATTAATAAACTAAGCCTCAAAACTTATTTAGACTTTAATTACAGAGAAGGAAATTATTTAAGAAAAAAATGTTCTTCAAGGAAATGAAACACGTCACTTTATTTCTGTGATATACAATTATGAAAAGTTAATATTTTCTCTTAGAAATCAAACATATTGCTGAAGCTATTTACAACAGGCTTTCAGTAGTAGTTTGGCAATGAAGAACAATGGAAAAAGTTGGATAGGTAAGGTCACACAGTAATTTAGTCACTGATTTAGTAATATCCAACAACAGACACATTCAAATTGCCATAGCTTCTGAAAAAAAAATTTTATGAAGAAATTCCAAAAATGGTATTTTATAACACTTCCCCAGGTTATTGAATCTTCTCTGGAGAGTTTTAAGACAGGGACAGATAAGGCTATCTATGACTTTCTAAGTCAGGAGCTTTTACTTCTTTAACCATGACCCACAGTACCACAGTAATAAAGAAATACATTTTACATCAGAATATACGTATGCATGTATACCTACAAATATGTATGCATATGGAACTAAGTTTCACAAAAGAATACTTACTCTAAGTTTGCTATTCTTTACTATTTCTCTCCTTTTCATTTTTGTAAACACTGTTCATGGCCACTTAACTGATTTCATGTGAACAGCTACAAACGACAGTCTGGGAAATACTGATCTGAAGGTAATCTCATACTGGATTACAACAATCAGGTAGATCCAAACCCTGTGCCTACAAGCCCTGGGATTCCTTGGCTGTGTCTCAGGAGCTATGTAGAGGAGCGGGAGGGAAAGGGTCTACACACACAGACACAGGCCCTGCCCAAGTGAACCAAAGCTTCTCAGCAATTTCTTGGGATTTCATGTAAGATTTAATTTAGAGGCAAGGGGGAAAAAAGGGGCTCAGTTTAAAAACTCAAAAGTTTCAAAGTCACTGAGTTAGATGACCTTTCAGGACCCCTCCAGTGTATGAGTCTAGAAATAAATATTTACTGCAAACTATAAAAAAAAACCCACAAAGCTATATATCACTATAGAATCAAAACCACAAAAACAACCAAAATACTGATCACTCAAAGCTTTATAATTTATGTTAGAATTTCTCAACATTCTGCCTGATTAAAAGTGCTAAAGGCATCACAGTCTCCCCTTTAATTCCCTCGCCATCCTATAGAAACAACCTCCAAGGCTTCTCTTACTAAAAGTACCTTCTGCTCACAGTTCTTATTAACAAAGCAATTTTATATTTGCTAAAAATAGAACATATTACCAAGTAAACAGACTAAGCCATGTGAATTACTGGGCTCCTTAGACACTGATTAATTTGAACAAATCAGTGTTGTCAAACCAAAAACTCTGCAACTTTCTTAATTCATAAAAACATGTATCCTCCCACTGGAGTTACCTCCAGCCAAAATATACCGAGTTGGGTGCATAGCGTTGATGGAACACACAGAGGCAAGACATTCTCCACCAAGAAAAGAGTGCACCCACTTTCCTCTCTCATGGAAGATTTCCACTCGCCGTGGATGGGCCATGCTGCCGACTATGATACAGTCTTCTTGTTTAGGGTCCCACACAGCTTGGAACCTGGTCAGCCATCTCCCAGTAATGGTGTTATGCCTAGTGAAAAAAAACGATTTTTTAAAGGACAGTAGTGTTAAATAAATCCAGGTAGCATGGGAAGAGGGTTAAGATGGGATTGCTCCTAAATGCTGATATTCTCTGCCAAGTTTCTTTTCATTAAGTTACTGCGTCACCAACAACCTAATCTCATCCTTCATGCAAGACTGAAACTCAGGACAGAGATGATGTATTCTGCATTTTTGAATCTCCAGTGCTGGGTATAGTGGTTTGTGCTCAGTGGATGGTCACTAAATGTCTATTTAAATGGCACCTTTTTTGTTCACTATTTACTAGCTCAATGGACTCCCCTCCTTTTTTTTAGCACATGCAAACAGAAGACCTAGAACAAAGAAATATATAATCTAGGTTTTTGCTGTTTTAACAGGATCTGCTATTTCCCATATTTGTATTCCCCTAATAACCAAACCCTGAAATCATTTTATATTCCATACAACCTTAAAGTTAAAAATACAGGGCTTCCCTGGTGGCGCAGTGGTTGAGAGTCCGCCTGCCGATGCAGGGGATGCGGGTTCGTGCCCCGGTCTGGGAGGATCCCACGTGCCGTGGAGCGGCTGGGCCCGTGGGCCATGGCCGCTGAGCCTGCTCGTCCGGAGCCTGTGCTCCACAATGGGAGAGGCCACAACAGTGAGAGGGCCCCCTACCGCCAAAAAAAAAAAAAAAAAAAAGTTAAAAATACATCTGGAGGGCTTCCCTGGGGGCGCAGTGCTTGAGAGTCCGCCTGCCGACGCAGGAGACGCGGGCTCGTGCCCCGTTTCGGGAAGATCCCACATGCCGCGGAGCGGCTGGGCCCGTGAGCCATGGCCACTGAGCCTGCGCGTCCGGAGCCTGTGCTCCGCAAATGGGAGAGGCCACAACAGTGAGAGGGCCCCCTACCGCCAAAAAAAAAAAAAAAAAAAAAAAAATACATCTGGAGCTCAAAGAAGAAATCACAAGGGAAATTAGAAGATATCTGCAGACAAAAATGAAAACACAACCTACCAAAATCTACGGGATGCTGTGAAAGCAATAGTAAGAGGGAAATTTACAGCAGTAAACATCAGAAAAGAAGAAAGATCTAAAAATCAACAATCTAACTACACCTCAAGGAACTAGAAAAAGAACAAACAAAACCAAAAGACAGCAGAAGGAAGGAAATAATAAAGACTAGAGCAGAGATAAATGAATTACAGAATAGAAAAACAACAGAAAAAAATTAACTAGGAGTTAGTTTTTTGAAAAGATCAACAAAATTGACAAGCCCTTAGCTAGATTAAGGAAAAAAAGAGAGGAAATGCAAATCACTAAAATAAGAAATGAAAATGGGACATTATAACTGATGTCACAGAAATTAAAAGGATTATAATACTATAGACAATTATACACCAATGAACTGGACAACCCAGAAAAAATGAATAAATTCCCAGACAAAGGACTTCCCTGGTGGTCCGGTGGTAAATAATCTGCCTTCCAACGCAGGGGACACAGGTTTGATCCCTGGTGGGGGAACTAGGATCCCACATGCTGAGAGGCAACTAAGCCCACGCACAACTACAGAGCCCACACACTCTGGAGTCTGCACGCCACAACTAGAGAAAAGAAAACCCACATGCCGCAACTAGAGAGAAGCCCGCACACCTCAATGAAAGATCCCACATGTCTCAATGAAGATCCCACGTGCTGCAACTAAGATCCAACACAGCCAAAAAATAATTATTTTTTTTTAATTCCCAGACATATACAATTTACCAAGACTGAATCATGAAAAAATAGAAAATCTAAATAGAACTATAACTAGTAAGGGGATTAAAATAATAACCAAAACCCTCCCAACAAAAAAATCCCAGGACATGGGCTTCCCTGGTGGCGCAGTGGTTGAGAGTCCGCCTGCCGATGCAGGAGACACAGGTTCTTAACCCAGTCCGGGAAGATCCCACATGCTGTGGAGTGGCTAGGCCCGTGAGCCATGGCCGCTGGGCCTACACGTCTGGAGCCTGTGCTCCACAACGGGAGAGGCCACAACAGTGAAAGGCCCACGTACTGCAAAAAAAAAAAAAAAAAAAAAATCCAAGGACCAGATGGCTTCACTGGAGATTTCTACCTAACATTTAAAGAAGAATTAACACCAGTGCCCCTCAAACTCTTCCAAAAAATTGAAGAGGAGGGAACACTTCCCAAATCATTCTGTGAAGCTAACACTACCCTGATACCAAAGCCAGACAAGGAACCTACAAAAAAAAAAAAAGCCTACATACTAATATTCCTAATGAATATTGATGCAAAAATTCACAACAAAATACCAGCAAACCAAATTCAACAGCACATTAAGAGGATTATACACCATGACCAAGTTGAATCTATACCTGGGATGCAAGGATGGTTCAACATATAAAACTCAGTTAATGTAGTATACCACATTAACAGAATGAAGGACAAAAATCATAAGATCCTCTCAACCAGTACAGAAAAATCATTTGACAAAGTTCAATACCCTTTCATGATAAACACTCAACAAACTAGGAATAGACAAAAACTATCTCAACATAATAAAGGCCATATATGAAAGGCCCACAGCTAACATAATACTCGATGAAAAACTGAAAGCTTTTCCTGTAAGATGTGGTAAAAGGCAAGGATGCCTACTCTTGCCATGTCTATTCAACATAGTATTGTAAATTTGGTAGGACTAGAAAACTGGGTAGGACTAAAGACTCCACAAACACACAAAAAAACTATTTAAACAATTTCAGCAAATTTACAGGATACAAAAATCAACACACAAAAATCAGTTGCATTTCTACACACTAAGAATAACCAATCCAGAAAGGAAATTAAGAAAACAATCCCATTTACAATAGCATAAAAAAGAACAAAATATTTAGGAATAAATTTTACCAAAGATGTGAAAGATTTGTATACTGAAAACTACAAAACATTACTAAAACAAACCAAAGAAGACACAAATAAATGGAAAGACATTGTGGTTGTGGACTGGAAGACTTAATATTGTTAAAATGTCTATACTACCCAAAGTGATCTATAGAATTCAATCAATGCAATCCCTATGAAAATCCCAATGGCATGTTTTACAGAGAGAGAAAAAAATTCCTAAAATTGATATGGAAACTCAAGGAACTACAAACAGTCAAAATAATCTTTAAAAAGAAGAACAGGACTTCCCTGGTGGCGCAGTGGTTAAGAATCCACCTGCCAACACAGGGGACACGCATTCAAGCCCTGGTCTAGGAATATCCCACATGCCGCAGAGCAACTAAGCCCATGCACCACAATGACTAAGCCTGTGCTCTAGAGCCCACAAGCCACAACTACTGAGCCTGCATGCCACAACTACTGAAGCCCGTGCACACAGAGCCCATGCTTCGCAACAAAGAGAAGCCACTGCAATGAGAAGCCCGCACACCACAATGAAGAGTAGCCCCTGTTCGCCGCAACTAGAGAAAAGCTCACGCACAGCAACGGAGACCCAATGCAGCCAAAAATAATTTTAAAAAAAGAACCAAGCTGGGGGCCTCATATTTCCAGATTTCAAAACATACTACAAAGCAACAGTAATCATGACAGTGTGGTACTGGTATAAAGACACTACAGACCAGTAGAACAGAATAGATCCCATAAATGTACATGTACATGGTCAAGTGATATTCAACAAGGGTGCCAAGACCACAAAATGGGAAAAGGACAGTTTCTTCAACAAATAGTGCTGGGGGCTTCCCTGGTGGCGCAGTGGTTAACAGTCTGCCTGCCGATGCAGGGGACGTGGGTTCGTGCCCTGGTTCCGGGAGGATCCCGCATGCCATGGAGCGGCTGGGCCCATGAGCCATGGCTGCTGAGCCTGTGCGTCCCGAGCCTGTGCTCCGTGACAGGAGAGGCCACAACAGTGAGAGGCCCACGTACCGCAAAAAAAAAAAAAAAAAAGCAAACAAATGGTGCTGGGAGAACTGGATATCCACATTCAAAAGAATAAAGTTGGACAATAATCTTATATTATATACAAAAATTAACTCAAAGTGGATTAAAGACCTAAACATAAGACTTGAAACTATTAATAAAACAGAGAAGAAAACATAGGGGGAAAGTTTCAGGACACTGGATTTAGCAATGATTTCTTCAATATGACACCAAAAGCACAGACAACAAAAGCAAAAACAGACAAATCTACATCAAACTTAAAAACTCAGTGCATCAAAGGAAACAATCAACAGAGTGAAAAGGCAACCCACAAAATGGTAGAAAATATTCACGAATCATATATTTGATAAGGGGTTAATATGCAGAATATGTAAGGAATTCCTATAATTCAACAACAACAAAAATTATGCAATTCAAAAACGGGCAAAAGACTTGAATAGACAGTTCTCCAACGAAGATACACAAATGGCCAACAAGCAAATGAAAAGATGTTTAACATCACTAATCATTAGAGAAATGCAATCAAAACCACAATGAGATATTACCTCCTTAGGATAATCACTAACAAAAGAACAGACAATAAGTGTTGATGCATATAAAGAGAAATTAGAACCCTGGTGCACTACTGGAATGTAAAATGGTTTGGCTGCTATGGAAAAACAGTACAAAGGTTCCTCAAAAAATTAAAAATAGAATTTTATCAGATGTTCCATCAAAATCCCCCTTCTGGGTATATATCCAAAAGAATTCAAAGCAGGATCTTAAAGAGATATCTTTACACCCATTTTGTTCACTGCATTATTCACAATAGCCAAGAGGTAGAAACAATCAAAATGTCCATCAACAGATGAATGGATAAAGAAAATGTGGCACATACATACAGTGGAATATTATGCAGCCTTTAAAAGAGGAAGGGACTTCCCTGGTGGCGCAGTGGTTTAGAATCCGTCTGGCAATGCAGGGGACATGGGTTCAATCCCTGGTCCAGGAAGATCCCACATGCCGCGGAGCAACTAAGCCCATGTCACAACCACTGAGCCCGGGCTATAGAGCCCTCAAGCCACAACTACTGAGCCCGTGTAACACAACTACTTAAGCCTGTGCGCCTAGAGCCCATGCTCTGCAACTAGAGAAGCCACTGCAATGAGAAGCCCGCGCACTGCAATGAAGAGTAGCCCCGACTCGCCTCAACTAGAGAAAGCCCGTGTGCAGCAACGAAGACCCAATACAGCCAAAAATAAATTAATTTTTTTAACATCTTTATTGGAGTATAATTGCTTTACAATGGTGTGTTAGTTTCTGCTTTATAACAAAGTGAATCAGTTATACATATACATGTTCCCATATCTCTTCCCTCTTCTGTCTCCCTCCCTCCCCCCCTCCCTATCCCAACCCTCTAGGTGGTCACAAAGCACCGAGCTGATCTCCCTGTGCTATGCGGCTGCTTCCCACTAGCTATCTATTTTACGTTTGGTGGTGTATATATGTCCATGCCACTCTCTCACTTTGTCACAGCTTACCCTTCCCCCTCCCCATATCCTCAAGTTCATTCTCTAGTAGGTCTGTGTATTTATTCCCATACCTAGAGTCTGTCCTACAGAGTAAAGTAAGTCAGAAAAAGAAAAACAAATACCGTATGCTAACACATATATATGGAATATAAGAAAAAAAAGAAATGGTCATGAAGAACCTAGGGGCAAATATGGGAAAAAATAAATTAATTTTAAAAAATTAAACAGGAGGAGATCTTGTCACATGCTAGAATATGGATGAACATCGAGGACATTATGCTAAGTGAAATGAACCAGTCACAAAATGACAAATACTGTATGATTTCACTCATATGAAGTATCTAGAATAGTCAAAATCATAGAAATGGAAAGTAGAAAGATGGTTGCCAAGGTCTGGGAAAAGGGGGACAGATGAATTAATGTTTAATGGGCAGTTTCAGTTTTGCAAGATAAAAATATTCTAGAAGTCTGCTGCACAACAACGTGAATATACCTAACACTATTGCACTGTATACATATAAATAGTTAAGATGGTTAATTTATGTGTTTATAACCACAACTAAAAATAAAGTAAAAAAATTTTTTTTAATATATTTGGGGCTCTTTACTACTCTCCAAAGCAAAAAGCAAAGCACTGCCTTTTTATTCTCTATATTGTAACACCATTAGCAACCCTTTCTTACTAAATAAGTATGAACAATGGAGAACCACATTTCCCTCTGCCACTCAATGACCCTATCTCTACTGACCTGTGAATCATCACACTAGATATTTTTTAAAATATGCATTAGAAACCAATAAACTAGAATTAATAAAGTTTGAAAAAGGAAATGAAGAGGGAAATTCTGTGAAAGAGAAAACAAACATGCTTAAATATAGCCTCTATAGACTATAAAACTCATGAAGCAACAATCAACATACATTGCACACCCTGTCCCCAACTTCATAAATACTAATAAAGAGGTATGTCTAGGAAGAAGGCATTGCATAAAGTTTGATGTAAAATACATACATTAAAAGTAGCAGATGCAAAAAAAGGGTAACCAAACAAAGTAAGTGGGAAGGTGGGGAGGCCCTCCAAGCCCAGAACCAACAGGTGCAAATAAACAGAGCTTCAGCTAGCCTCACCAGCAAGTAAGTCTCAATAGGATAACATGAGTAATTCAGGTAGGAATAAAGTCACTCACCTTAACCAAAAATAACCACCCAGAGGCAGAGAACAGCTACTGACTAAAAGAGATTGAACCTCTTTACAGAAACAGGAAACCTGGAAGCAAGAACCCTCCTGTATAGGATAGGAACTAGCAACCTGGAACACTGGAACAATGTAATACAAAATCAGACCTATTACATCTCCTTGACAATCAGATGTCCAATGTATGCACTCCAACAAAGACCTCAGAGTAATCCAGGGTCTATTTTATTTGGCACATGGAAACCTACCTGATGGTGGTGAGAAGAGGAATCTTCGAGGATATACAGCTGCTGTCAAAGATTCTACAAAATAAAGAGCAAGAATAAAGGAGCACACTCTTTATTGTTTCTTTAAAATTTTCTGAAATATTATCAGTATATTTAACAAGCTTTTCACTGGTTCATGATATGAAATATGATTGTTATCTTAAAATATATAGGATCAGACTCTAACAAATCTCAGCTAATATATTTACAAAAGTTACAAAGAATATTATAAAATTCAGTGCTTATAGTTTAGTGTGGAAATTACTTATTTAGACATTATTACTCCAAACTTAAATGTACATTCTAAAGTGATAATCCAGACTCTATATTCAGATTCACAGTAATATAAGTCATACATGAGGGATGTAGTCTGAAAATGCAAAAATAACCTAAAAGTGTACGCATGTATCAAGGGAGACTCATCAGTTGAGGGCGTGATAGTGTCACTTCCAGATTCTGGCAAAACTAAGACTGTCCAGTGACCAAGGGGAGGAGTTCCTGTGGGGCAACTGGAGGTATCCAGAAGCCTCCACTAGGTACCCTGGCAGACAGAAACTAACCGAATCATCACCCCTTCTCCTTGTGCCTGGCTATTCCACTGAAATTTCTTGGCACTAGAGCTTATTAACTAATTAGATTACTAGAAAGCCAAATCACTAATGGCTAATGTAACAAGAGTAAACTCTGCAGTGCAAATGAACAGGAATGGGACAAATAAGTAGCCCTTAAGACAAAGAAAACTGCATGGGTGGAAAGGGGACACTGAGCTGCCACTGTCTGGTGACTAAATCTCTTAATGTATTACCTGGTAATACTTACACACTTTACTAGAAATTAACTGGGTACCTGTCATACACTATAAACCATGTCCTTCCCAATAGATGGGTCTAAACAGAAATTAGGTGCCTTTCTAGAGCCTGGCCCACAGCATACATTTAACAGATACTTGTTGAATGAATAATGAACGAATTCCATAATCACTTAAGGTAAAACTCTCATAAACAGAGAATTGCTTGCAATGTTAAGCAAAATCAGGGATTTCAGAAGAGAACAAAATCATTTCCTTTGTGATTGCATTAACATTCTCCACATCTTTTTTAATTGGCATTATTTTCTACTTTTGTTCAATTGGTTTATATTACATTTTAAAATCCATTTTTAGGAAGTAGCTATAGAAAGGTATCAAAGCTAAAACCATAAAATTTTATCCAGTAGTTTGTATAAAAGCCCAATTTTTGCTACCTTTTCTGCCTGCCCATGGCCTGGGGCTCTGCAACTTCGATTCAGCACTTCACTTGTGGGGTAGACCCCACTATCTCCAAAGTAAGAGCTTCTCCCTGTGCTAAAATTATCTCCCTTCCAAGATATCACAAGCCTGATTTCATCTGATTTCAGTGCTAAAAGCAAAGACTGACATCACTCTCCAGGGTAGCTACAGACCTTCCCTGCCAATCTCAAGGAAATCTACAGATCCCAAAACTGCTGAAAAGCCATTAAGTACAGGTCATTGATCTTTGGGAACCTAGACATGACTATGAAACAATAACACTAGTGATTTAATAAGGAGCAATAGTCAACAAAGCTACTGTTTAACACAGTAACTACAGACTCTAGATTCCTTAACAAGTATTTCTGTCTTCCCAATTTACCTCAGCTTACAATCAGCACATGTGGTTACCACTCTGTTACCAGTAAGAGGTGAAAAATAGGCAGAAGCAATGCTCTTTGTGTGTTCAGTCAAAGAAATCAAAGGCTTGATTCTACTGGAGTTCAGGCACCTTGCATCATAAATATGAATATCCCTGTAACAGGAGGAATAATTCTCAGTGTTGTCACAGTACACATAGTAAGACTCTACAATAGCACTGAACATAAATTAGACACTCAAATACTCACTACATTGAAGAACAGTTAAGACAGAACCCTCTAATCTTCTATATTAATTTTAAAAACACTGGTATAGAGTAAGAAATAAGAAAAATTTCAAAATTATAGCATATATATGTAACCAGGTGGGTACAGAGAGACAAGATTCTAGCTGGTTTTCTAATCTATCCAAGAAAAAAGAACACAGACCAAGAAGTTATAGGTCACATGGAACTTTTATATTTTTTACGTACATTCTTCTCAAAAGACTAGAAGTAAATGCATGAGGCCAAGGAAAACAAAAATGTATATTTTTTCAACACTTGCACTATTTATTAAATCCAAAAGAATCTCTCACTTTAAAAATAATCACGTTAAAAAAAAATGCTCAATCAGTGTAGAAAGGAAAATTATTTGGTCTGTGGGTATTACAAAAAAAGTCAGAAGTCTTTGACCACCAAACTAAAACATTACTCCTAACATTAAAAGGCCTAAATCATAAAATTTCATGAAGGACATACCTTAATCCCGCAGTGATAAAATACTGTCTATGCACTGGGTGGACATGTACAGTTCTTATTTTGCTCAAAGAAGAATTGATAAGTTTCTCACAAGAAGTTCCAGGTGTCCGCCTATCCACTAGTGACATACTTCCATCCCAGTGACCTACTATGAAAGTGGAGGCGTCTTCTGCCAAGAAGTCAAAGGAGGAAAAGCTACTTCTTTCATCTCTATATACCTAAGGATATAAGTAACAATCAACTTATGTAACACTCTTCTTTTAAAGAAAGCCAATGCATAAATTCTTTGTTAAAAGAGTAACAAAACACTTAACCCAAATAACCTCATTTATCCTCCCATGATCCCCACAAGAAGCATAGGGCAAAATGGTAATCCCCTTAGATGGAAACTAAGGCACTGATCAGCTGTGAGACTGCAATCAAACAGCCCATCCACACATGTCAGGGCTACATCCCAAATCTCTTAAATCCAATAAACCTCAGATGCAGATCTACCCTGTGAAACTTACTAGGAAATGGACTGAATCTGAATCTTACCCAGTTGAAATACCTTAATATACCAAGTAACTTTGCCAACTAAGTCCAAGGTATATGGCTTGAATGCTCACCTACTCTTGGTGGAAGTGTAAATAGATACAAAATTTTTACAGCAATCAGGACACATCTATCAAAATATTTAATGCTTATACATACCCTTTGACCCAGTAATTTCACTAAGATATATATAAGGATGCTTGCTGCCAGACTGCTTATAACAGCAATAAAAAGCAACCTAAATGTCCACCAAAAAAGATCTGGTTAAATCATGATGGTACATCTCTACTTTGAAATACCATGCAATGCTAAAAAAGAATGAGGTAGATTTGTGCTATTAACTGTCCAAGATATACTAGTAAATTAAAAAAGCAAGTTGCAAAAAAGTATGTATATAGTGTTATATAGCACAAAGAAAAAAAATCTGTATCTATATGCTTGTAAGTATATGTGTACTTTTTGGAGGCATATGCAAAAAATACAAAGGTTACTTCGGGAGAGTGGGAATGGGGAAAGGGCAAATTTAGTTTGCACACCCTATTTACTGTAAGTTTGTGGGGGTTTTTTGGTTGCACTGGGTCTTCATTGCGGGCTTCTCTCTAGTTGCGGCATGCAGTTTAGTTGCCCTGCGGCATGTGGGATCTTAGTTGCCCAACCAGGGATCAAACCGGTGTCCCCTGCATTGAAAGGTGGATTCTTAATCACTGGACCACCAAAGAAGTCCCCTACTGTAAATATTTTATCATGAGCATGTATTATTGTTATAACTTTTTAATCACTTACAATCCACAATATTATTACTTTGGGCTCAGGACTCACACACATAAGGAATAAAAAATAAATGTTGTAGAATGTGTCAGTACTCAAGTAAGAGAGAATTACCACAATTCTTATCACTTAATCATGAATTGCTACTGACTTTTAGTTTTAATAACAAGTATTACTATAAACTGAGATTAACAAATTAATACACCAAAGGTATCCCAACCCCTATACCAAAAAAAGCCCAATATACACAAATGAAACTTGAGGTATTCAGTCATTATATTAAAATGGTTAAGTGCAGGGGATTTGGAGTCAGAGAGACTCAAGTGCAAATTCTAGTTCTGCCTTTTATGTCCTTCAGCAAGCTAATAAACCTCTTTACCTCAGTTTTTTCAATTGTTAAATGGGGAGAACATTACCTATTTCATAGGGTGTTATTAGGCTTAATAATATATATAAAGCACACTCAGGTTAGTACCTAACACAAGGTAATTGTTCAATCAGTAGTATCAGAAGCAAATTACTGATACATGCAATATCATGGATGAATCTTAAAAACATTATGCTAGGTAAATAAAGCCAGACACAAAAAGCTACACACCATTTGATTCCATTTACTTGACATTCTAGAACAGGCAAAATTATAGGGACAGTAATCACATCAGTGGTTGCCAGGGGCTTCAGGAAGGGGGAGAGGACTGACTACAAAGGGTCATTGAGGTAATTTTTCCAGGTGATAGAAATTTTTTATGTCTTGATTGCAGTGGTGGTTACACAGGTATATACAATTTGCCAAAACTTATAAAACTGCACACCTAACAAAGGTAAATTTTACAACATGTACTGTATACCTCAATAAACCTGACTTCTAAAAAAATAAATAAGTGGATAACTCTTACAACTCAATACTGAAAACACAGATAACCCAATTAAAAAATAGGCAAAAGATCCAAATTTCTCTAAATAATTACAAATGACCAATAAGCAGATGAACATGCTCAGCATCATTAATCATTAGGGAAACGCAAATCAAAACCACAATGAGATACCACTTCATACCCACGAGGTTGGCTATACTCACCACCAACCAGAAGCATTGGAAAAGATGTGGAGAAATGGGAACCCTCACATACTGCTGATGAGTATGTACAACAGAGAAGCCGGTTTGGGAAACAGCTTGGCAGTTCATCAGAATGTTAAACATAGAGTTACCATATGACCCAGCAATTACACTCCTAGGTATATACCCAAGAGAAATGAAAGCACACAAAACTTGTGTATGAATGTTCATAATGGCATTATTCGTAATAGTTAAAAATGGAAACAACCCAGTTGTTCATCAACTAATGAATGGATGTGTAAAATGTGGTACAGCCACACAAGGGACTACTATTCAGCCATAAAAAAGAATGAAGTATTGACACATTCTACAACATGCATGAACCTTGAAAACATTTCGATAAGTATAGAAGCCAGTCACAAAAGACTATAAACTGTATGATTCCTTTTATATGAAATGTCCAGAACAGGCAAATATGTAGAGACAGAAAGTAGTTTAGTGGTTTTCTAGGGCGAAAGGGGAAATCGGGAGTACTTGATAAGCAAGGGGTTTCTTTTGGAGGTGATAAGTATTCTAAAATTAGATTGTGGTAACAGTTTCACAACCCTATAAATACACTAAAAACCACTGGATTTTACACTTTAAATGGGTGAATCGAATGGTATGTGAATTATATATCTCAACAAAGTTGTATTAAAAAATAAGTACAATCAGTTATTATTAAGTGGCTGATAAAACATAGATGTACCTTCAAATTTCAAACTCCAACCTTCCTGTAAGACTATAAACAAATACAAAACAATGTGACTTACATACATAACTATATGGTATGCATTAATAATCAAACTGCTACCATTAAACAGTTTAAAGAGGACTTTTCACAAAAATTATTTCATTTAATCCATGATTAATAGCCCATCCATTTCCAATAAGGATTTTAAATATCAATGTTGCTCTTAAAAACCTATTTTTAAAAAGGTAAAAATAGAAATTAAAAGAAAAAAAAAGCAAAGACACCAGTAAAAAAAGAAATTGTTTCTTCTAATTGTCAGTAATTAGGAAATCAAGTCTGACCAGCAACACATTAACAGTCTTGAAAAATCTTTTTTCATATGGTTAAAAACAGACTTAAAAGAAATTAAACATCCTCATTTTTAAAAGAAAACCCAAAAACTATTAGCTCTCAAGAAGAGAGAAAAAGCCTTCCCAACTGTAAGAAAGATCATTTTAGGACTTCAGTGAAGAACAAAAGAGTTACGTGTTATACTATAGCTATTAAAATAATTAGTTAAAAACTCTTTTATAAGTGATTATGAATCATCTATACATAGAATATTAAAATAATTACAAAGACAGAATGTGTTAACTTTGAGTACTGGCTTACATAAAATAATTAAGGCATAAAATTAGATCATCAGTTAGCATTTATGATGATAAGCCATAATCAGTGATGATACCCTGTTTTCTTCATTGTCTATCACATATAAAATGCTCTTATACTGAGGACCTCTAAAAACGTTAAAAGTCCCATTTGAAATCAGCTAAAGAATGAAAACCTACATCTAAACCATCCTAAATTTCACAAAGATTAAAATCCATATAAAAAAAGAGTTTGATTTGTAGGAATTCTCTTAATGAGGAAATCTGATATGGTTAAGCAAACCTGAAAGCTCACTTGAAATGTTTGTTGTAACATTAAGTAGTAGATATTTAAGTAGTAAACCAAAATGTAATCACTGGGGTCCAATATTGTGAGGATTCCTCAGGCCTTTGGAAGCTTCTGGCCTACCCAACCAGAGATCAAACCAATTTGAAAACCTCCAAGGGGTAAGTAGTCTGGTTAACTTGGTAGACTATCTCTGGGAGGATGGACAGTCACGAGTATGAGACCAACATTTTTCAACTATTCTTAAACTTCAACTTAATCTTACCTTGCAGGGGTTAGACTAGCCCAGGAAAAGACCTTATCCTCAACAGGTGGTTATGAATAAACCTGGCCTAAGAGGTTCTGAATGAACCCGCTTAGGTGTCCATTTCTTGCCAGAGTACAATTATATGACATCGAATGGCAGTTTTTCATTCTAACTTCACCAGATAAAAACAGCTGAGCTAATCTCTCTACCATCAGCTATACATGGCATATAAGAGATGATAAATCTTAGCTAGAAGACAAAAAACCAAATTTTATAGTTTCTATGTTATATTACTAGCCAAAAGTTTTGGACAATGTATTATAGAACTGTTATGTGATGAATTTCTCTAGTCTTTTTTGTCATATCTAAGACTCATCCCCACAAAATTCATATCTGCCAAGGCTAGAAATAATAAACAAAAGTATAATAATATTCCAATATTTTTTCCTGAATAAAAGAGGACAAGTTTTAAGCCTTAAAATAGAAGAATAAGTTATTTTATTTAAAAGCTTTCTGCAAAAATAAAAAATAAGAGCAAAAACTTACTATGTACCAGGCTCTGTTTTAAGTAAATGCTTTATCTACATTAATTCATTTAATCCTCATGACAATCCTATAAGGTAGATACTATTACCATTCCATTTCAAAACTAAGGAAATTGAAGCACAAAGAGGTTAAGCAACTTACCAAGTTCACACAAATAGTAACAGATGGGATTTGAATTTAGGCAGTGTAGTTCTAAAGTCCCTAATTCTACACCATCTCACCCAGTTTGATGGTATAATATAATCATCCATGTGGCATTTCATAAAGAATCCAGAAAATCACCTGAGGTCCATATGTAAACACATTAACATTTACCTCCTCAAAAACAGCTCTGGAAAAATCCCCACAGCGTAATGTGCCATCATAGCTTAGTGACAGCAGGTGAGCTGGATTGGCAGGCGAGAAGTAAAGACAGCTAACTGGTTGACTGTGGGGTTGAAAAATGTAAACTCCATCTTCTTTAGGTTGGTGAGTCTGGAATAGAGTTGGGGGTGGGGAGAGAGACAAAAACTGGTGAAAAGCAGTAATATTTTCTACATCATTACATCATTAAACTATTTGTTTGTATTATATTCAGTCTTAGTCTATAATTGTACCCACCTTCCCACTCAGAAAGTCAGAACTAGAAACTTTAGACTCTCACTAAGTTACTTTTTCCTAATTTTCAATCCAACAAAATTAAGTCACATTTATTTTAATAGTTTCCAGCTTTTTGCAACTAGCCAACTAGTTTTTCATAATACAGAGGGGAAAAAATTACTGCTTATAATGACTTCAGTTCATGAAATTCTCAGGAAATGTGAAATTTACTTTTATTTCACATGCAGGATAATTCCTTACTACCAAAACTTCTATCAATACCACTCCCACTTTGCTTGCTAAGTGTGCTTCTATATGAGTATGTCATTCTCAGCTCAATTTTCATAAGGTGTTTGGTCCTGGCACAAAATGATAGTTTTAAAAATATTTTATCCCCTAAATGCCCCATGAAAAATGCATGTGCTTGAGGGACTTCCCTGGTGGCGCAGTGGTTAAGAATCTACCTGCCAATGCAGGGCACATGGGTTTGAGCCCTGGTCTGAGAAGATTCCACATGCCGCAGAGCAACTAAGCTCATGCGCCACAACTACTGAGCCTGCGCTCTAGAGCCTGCAAACCACAGCTACTGAGCCTGCGAGGCACAACTAGTGAGCCCACATGCCACAATTACTGAAGTCCACAAGCCTAGAGCCCGTACTACACAACAGGAGAAGCCACCGCAACGAGAAGCCCACGCACAGCAACGAAGACCCAACCAAATATAAATAAATAAATAACAGCCAAAAATAAATAAATAAATTTATTTTTAAAAATACATGTACTTGAATTTCAGTAGTGATATTACTACTTCTAAGGATTATCGTTTCCACAACTGGATTACCAACTCCGAAATCATCATTTTTTGGATTTTGATGTTATATTCTTATGCCATATGTCATATTATGAACCAGAACAACTTTCATCTCTAAATCTAGCTTAGTCGGCTCTGAAATACTCAAACACTTTTGTTTTCGTCTTTTTTATTTAAGTTTTTAAATAAAGAGAAAAAAATTTTAAAGAAAATAAAGAAACATGAAAAGAGAAGGAAGGAAAAAAATTACAATCACACAAACTCCTCCTCCTACCCAGAGTTAACCACTGTTAACATTTTGGCATATTTGTCTATAGCATATATTTTTTAGAAAAACAAAACTCTCCATTGTTATAAGGAACTCAAACAAATATACAAAGAAATATACAAAGACAAAAGTTTTGAAAAATCATTCAAAACCCAAAATTGACCAAAATTATCATTAAAATACTAAGTGATCATTAAAGATGTCTTTACATGTACTTACTTATACAGATAGAAGGACAGAGAAGAAATTTAGAGAAAAAAAAAGGCCACTTTAAATAGTATTAAATTTAACTATACTTTAGGGGCATCCCTGGTGGTACAGTGGTTATGAATCCACTTGCCAATGCAGGGGACACGGATTCAAGCCCTGGTCCAGGAAGATCCCACATGCTGTGCAGCAACTAAGCCCATGTGCCAGAACTACTGAGCCTGCACTCTAGAGCCCTCAAGCCACAACTACTGAGCCTGTGTGCAACAACTACTGAAGCCCGCATGCGTAGAGCCCATGCTCTGCAACAAGTGAAGCAACCACAATAAGAAGCCCATGCACCGCAATGAAGAGTAGCCCCCGCTCACCACAACTAGAGAAAGCCCGCGCACACCAACAAAGACCCAATGCAGCCATAAATAAATAAATTTATATTAAAAAAAATTTTAACTATCCTTTAAAATAATAAAAGAAAATCAAGCTGAAGGAATTTTTGAACTTCAAGTCTTTCTTTATAAGAGCTATCTCCTAAGAAGGAAAAAGTATAAAATATAAAGCAGTTTTAGTCACTACATTTTTTTATTTAACTATGCATGTCTCAATTTTAGAAAATTTCTATCGACTGAGAACATTATTCTCACCCCTCCTCCAATCTCCCCTTTCTCCATCTCTATATTTTGTTATTTTTGTTTTTTTCAGGTTAACAACATTCATATCCAGTTCTGTAACCATAATTCATATGGCTGTTTAATATTAGTTCTGTATTTAAATATTTATTTATTTATTTCATTTATTTTTGGCTGCATCAGGTCATAGTTGCGGCACATGGGATCTTGATTAAGGCATGTGGGATCTTTCATTGCAGGACACAGGCTCTTCACTGTGACACGCGGGTTTCTCTCTAGTTGTGGCGTGCGGGTCCTCTCTCTCTAGTTGTGGTGCGTGGGCTCTGTAGTTTGCAGGAGGCGGGCTCTCTAGTTGAGGCCCGCGGGCTTAGTTGCCCCACAGCATGTGGGATCTTAGTTCCCCAACCAGGGATCGAACCCACGTCCCCTGCATTGGAAGGCAGATTCTTTACCACTGGACCAGAAGAGTCCCAGTTCTGTATTTAAATGGATTCAATACTCATCATCAATTTTTCTGTCAAGCTTTTCCATTCCTGAATCCTTAATTTTGATTTACTTTCAACTGGCCAAGATTTGCTATCAAGCAGTTTTTTCCAGATGAACTCACAGGTCTTCAATTTCTTGAGTTTTTTCAGATGTGAAAAGACCTACCTGCTGTCTTTACATTAGAATAATTTCTTGGACTGGGTATGTATTCCTTATTCCTTCTCTCAGAACTTTGTAGACATTACATGAAATGTTGCTGTAGAAAACTGAGGCAAACCTGGCTTTTCCCCTTGAATATAATTTGTTTTTCCTGCCTAAAGAATTCTTTATCCTTTAAGTCCAAATCTTCCTAGAACATGGCATACACACTCAAATCTGCCAATCCAATTCTGTCTTTTCAGAAAAGTTCTCTTTGAATATATTTTCTGTTCCATTTGTTGGGTCATCTTTGACTGGCTTTCCTTTTTTTTTTAAATGAATTTATTTATTTATTTATCTATCTATCTATCTTTGGCTGCCTTGGGTCTTGCTACTGCACACGGGTTTTCTCTAGTCATGGCAAATGGGGGCTACTCTTCATTGTGGTGCGTGGGCTTCTCATTGCAGTGGCTACTCTTGTTGTGGAGCACAGGCTCTAGGCACATGGGCTTCAGTAGTTGTGGCATACAGGCTTCAGTAGTTGTGGCTCATGGGCTCTAGAGCGCAGGCTCAGTAGTTGTGGCACACGGGCTTCGTTGCTCCACGGCATGTGGAATCTTCCTGGACCAGGGATTGAACCCGTGTCCCCTGCATTGGCAGGCAGATTCTTAACCACTGTGCCACCAGGGAAGTCCTGGCTTTCCTTTTCTATTGGATTTTCTCATAAAACCTTTTTCATCTGTGTTTGAGATTACCTCAGATATTTCCTTTAATATCTATAATTACATTTTCAGCCATGTCTATTCTGTTCCTTGCTTTTGTCTAATTTATTAGTTTCACTGATCTTCAATTTGTTTCCTTAGTTCTACAGTTTCCTTTTTCATTTCATTCTGTTGTTTTATCACCTTATCTTTGAGTCTTATTTTACCAAATTAATGTTGATATTAACTTGCTCCACAGCAGCACTGTCCAAAAGAACTTTCTGAGATGACAAAAATGTTTTATGTATGCACTGTCCAATATGGTATCCACTAGTCATGTGTGGCTATTAAGCACTTGAAATGTGCCTGGTGTAACTGAAGAACTGAATTTTCTATTTTAATTAATTTAAAAATAAATACATGTATCCCCCGCTTTTCAAAAGTTCACTTTATGCCACTTTGCTCTTACAAAACACCTATATTAGTACCTATTTTTGCTAACTGAAGGGAATCCAAAGAAGATTTTTGCTTTTGTGAGAAAAGGTGAAATATGAAAATAGTATTCAATGTTTGTTTTGCAGGAAGTTGTTACAGAGGCTTTATGTATAAAGCTATACATCTGACCTCTACCCACCTGTAGAGCTTCCCCCTATTCCACTCATCCCTTCCATTTATGCCTCTGCTGTTTATGCTCCAGCCACAGAGGCATTCTTTCAGAGGCATTCTTCAGGTCCTTAAATGTATCAAGCCGGCATCCTCCTGCCTAAGGTCCTTGACATGCTGTTCCTCTTGTGTGAAATGCTCTTTTCCCTTTCTTTGCTTGGCTTACTCCTATTTAGCTTTCAAATCTCAACTCAATTCTCACTTCCTCAGGGAAGCCTTCCCTGATCCTCAAAATCAGGCCAGTTCCCCTGTTATGTGTTTTTATAACACTACTTTTCCTCCACTCCATTAATCACAGTATATAATTCACTCCACTTATCAAACATGTAATTATTTCATTCATGCTGCTTTTGCCACTAAATTCTAAACTCCATAAGGACAGAGACAATCCTTCCTCACAAATATGGATGGGGAGTCATTAGGATAGTACTTAGGGGACTTCCCTGGTGGTTCAGTGGTTAAGAATCTGCCTGCCAATGCAGGGGACATGGGTTTGAGCCCTGGTCCAGGAAGATCCCACGTGCCGCGGAGCAACTAAGCCCATGCACCACAACTACTGAGCCTGTGCTCTAGAGCCTGTGAGCCACAACTACTGAGCCTGCGTGCCACAGCTACTGAAGACTACACACCTAGAGCCTGCACTCCACAACAAGAGAAGCCACCGCAATGAGAAGCCCAGGCACCACAACAAATAATAGCCCCTGCTCGCCGCAACTAGAGAAAGCCCACACACAGGCTTGACCTGATACAGCCAAAAAATAAATATAGAAATAAATTTATTAAAAAAAAAAGAGTGGAGGAGGGATATACTTCCGCGAAGATGGCGGAAGAGTAAGACGCGGAGATCACCTTCCTCCCAATAGATACACCAGAAATACATCTACACGTGGAACAACTCCTACAGAACACCTACTGAACGCTGGCAGAAGACCTCAGACCTCCCAAAAGGCAAGAAACCCCCCCCCCACGTACCTGGGTGGGGCAAAAGAAAAAAA